GCCTTCGCAGATGACTTGATCTTCTTTGTCTCGAATCCGCGCACATCCCTACCTGCTCTCCTACGTGAAATTGAGCTCTACTCTTCCCTCTCCAATTTTAAAATCAATTTTTCCAAGTCAGCGGCTCTGAATATCAGCCTCCCACGGACGGAGGTGGAATACTTACAGTCTTCTCACCCCTTTGCCTGGTCGATAGATGCCCTGAAGTATCTGGGCACGTATATGGCTGCTGATTGTGCTCGATTATATGACCTTAATTTTGCCCCATTGCTCCAGAAGACCAAGCAGGACCTCTTATCATGGCACTCTCTATCGCTGTCTTGGTTCGGCCGATGCAACGCCATCAAGATGACGGTTCTTCCAAGGATTTTGTACCTGTTTCAGGCCCTTCCCATCCGTATCCCTCCGCTGTTTTTCCGTCGCTTGCGTCAAATGTTCACTGCCTTTGTGTGGTCCCATGTTCCAGCGAGAATTCGATATGACATTGTTACTCTTCCTAAAAACAGAGGGGGTATAGGCCTCCCGGACATGGCCAAATACTATAAAGCGACCGCACTCGCACGGGTCTTGGATTGGTGCTGTCACAGACAGACCAAGCAATGGGTCAACATGGAGGGAGAGGATGCCAACTTTGTCCTGGAGGGACTGCCATGGCTCTCCTCACCTCTAGCTCCTGCGGTACGTCTCCACCCCACCATTGCTCCGACGTTGGTGCAGGCTAGGTCGCTTTCTCGCTCCTCCGACCTTTCTCCTTTTCCGTCGCCCATGACTCTGGTTCTGGGAGACCCTGACTTCCCTCCTGGAGTGGACAAGCCCCGATTCCGCCGCCTCCGTGATGCCAATAAGTTCCAGGTCTGCGATATGCGCTCGTCTTCCAGCTGCGTGAGTGACAGCTGGCTCTGCCTATCTAGAGGCAGAGCCAGCTATACCCGCCCCGTCCGATCCACCAGTCAGCGCTGGCGGATCGGAGCGGGGAGGGGGGAATCCAGCCCCTCCCCTGTCACGGCAGAGGGCAGTCAATGGGCTTGTATTAAATGTGAGGACGTCAGTGGGGCTTAAACCACTGGCGCCCGGGGGAGAAGAGGCTGTGGGGACCAGTCTAGCAGACAGGC